GAAACAGAATTTTCATGGATTGCTCGGTCCATCTGTGATGCAACTGCAAACACACCCTAGGGCCCTAGGGCCTGTGCCCTCTGTCTCAAGCAGAGGCCTCTGCGAGCTCTGCTTCGAGCTGGCCGGGGCCCCAGCCGCAGTGACCAACCAACCTGGGATCAAACCCAGTCCTAGGTCCTAGGCCACCCATAGACCACAGATCACAAAAGACACTGAAGTACATGATCTTGCGTGCTGCATTCTTGCTGCAGCCCATCTGTGACCCTTATTATGAGCTACATCAAGCAAGCCGCAGCATGAAGTCCTCCTCGGTGGCCTAACCACGCTGCCGCGCTTTTCGGGTGCTAGTTTGCGATGAAGCATTGGTTCGGAGAACGGGCGGTCGTTTTGAAGGGGAGCAAACAAAAAAGAAGAGAATTCTGTGATGACCACTTTCTCGGGCGCTTCCTGAGAACAAACACAAAACGGAAACAGCAAACTGCCACAACCCACTAAAACAGAAAGCAATGAATCACCTTGCCGTCAGACTCGAGGATGTAACCCGCAGCTGCCCAGGGCTCGCTCATGTAAATGCCCTGCCAGATTCAGCACGTTCTCTTTGTAAACTGCAAATCACTGACCAAATAATCTTCGGCAGTGAGTCCTATACAGTTTCTTGACTTGGGAAGGGCTATTGTCGATCGCAGTCCAATTAGTGTGTCAGGTCGGCTTTCTGCAGTTTGAAAATGATTTCGCGACGATGCTATGCTTGCTTCCTGTTTCACCTGTTCAAGTCTAGGACCAAAGTTTCACCACCTCACAAAAGCACCCGATTCCGTCTTATATTACTCTGAAGGTGTTCTGCTAGCTCTGCAGATCAGGATGGCGCTGCCTGAGCTATCGGCTCGGCCCCAGGGATGTCTGGACGCATGTGGAGGCAAAACTTCCACTGATCACCTCGTTGAAGACTTTGGCCAAGCAGTGGATGCAAAAGAGCTACAACGCCACGTGGCGGCGAAGCATGACCCTCGAGCCACATGCCTTTCCTCCAACTGCTCGACAACCCGGAAGCAGAACAATTGGAAGACTCGTGTTGATGCATGACAGCAAAACGGGTGGCACAGGACCGCTTGTGAAAAAGGGGGGCTGGCCGCCGATGAAGAGAGCGGAGAGGAACCTGGACCCGGAATATCCCCACAGTGCTTCGTGTATGCCGAGCAGCTCTCCTCGTGGTCCAGACTCTGGCAAGGCCCGCCATACCAGACAGTGAATTCCAAGCGGCCAAAGGTTTCCACACGAGTGGTCGGACGGTTGAGGACGAAGCCTGAGCACAAAAGAAAACAAAAGACATGAACCGGGCCCTGAAACATTCAAAGCTCACGAATTGGGCTGGGCTGTAGGCTGCAGCCAGCTTTTGCGGGGACTATCCACACTGCAATCAGCAATCCCGGACGCCCGTGTGGCAATTCCGTCAACTTGAAGCTTTGAACTCATTTTTCATGAGAGGACCTTAGTCCATGAAGATGCTGCAGCCAGCGAGCCCATGTCATAGTCTTCTCCATGCTCCGTGATGAGGATAACGGCCTCTCGAATGCAAGACAAAGCAAAGCCCAAAGGATTCCGGTCATCAGCATGCTATTATGCGGACGAATGTGACAACGCACAGAAACTGGCATTGAAGCCCCAGCATGCCAACTCCACATCTTGCAGGGCGCCTGCAACCTGCAGGCGTCCCGGCTTAGTTTGATGGGTTCTTACATTCGATCGCCCTAAAGCTCTGCACCCAAGGCCAGCGCGACCTGGACTAAAAACAGTTGCCCCAGCTGGCGCTGGCCCCCCAGAAAGACAAAAGCACTTACTTACTTGTCTGCAGCTGTGACTCAGGACCCCACCTTATGGAAACACGGACAGTCCAGCGACCAGAAGCCAGGCTTGGCCACGAGCACGGATCCCTTCTCGACAAGTGGGCTGCGGTGCATCCAGGTATCCTGATGCTCCTGGGTACACCCGGGCATGAACTCCTGCCAGCTGCATACGAACCTAGACTCTAGACTCGACATGTTCCCCGTACTGCCATAGTTTATACTCGGAAAGGGTACAAGTATGCGCTTGGTATGGAGGCAAGGCTCTTCACGGCTGGCATCGGAACCATCCAGGAGCACTTCTGACGTCTCACGTTCGATGAGCCGTGCACGAAACTGCCTTCACAAGGTTGTGGACATGCTTTTCGGTTTCGACTCACACACGCGCACGAGGCAGGCATGGCGTGTTCGGTCTGAGCTTTTCGGTTTGAACCCTATCCGGAATCTCAACTCATCCCACTCTCACAACTCGCCATCTTGAAATCTTCAGTACATGCGCTTGCACATCGAATTCGAAGCTGGGAATGATATATACTGCCCGATCCGTGATGCAACTCCACCCGAGGTGCTGCCTGCTCTTGCTGTCGATTTTGGACTTGTGTCGGTGTTTACGCATCAAATTCCGTCCCGAGCTGCACCATGCTGGTTTGCTGACTTACTTGAGTGCATGTCTTCAAACTCTCACTACGAAGTTGTCACCTCAGAAAAGCCCACGCCTCCAGTCCAGAGAATCCGCCTCTGGCAGCACTTCATCACTTGCCATGGCCTCGTGCAAGATTCAAGCAAAGGACCGGTTCTTGAGCTCAAATCTCCTGGTTCTCGCTGCATTCCACAATGTCGCATGTGCAGTCCGTGGCACCCTCCGCGGCGCAGAGCTCTCCGACGCTCCACGGAGGCTGTGCAGCTGCCAAGTTGGAACAAAGCTCAGGACCGCCCAGACCGGCCTTGGAACACCCGGGACAGCTTGCCCTTCGCTCGCCCTTGCTTTTTACCGCTCACTCTTTCTCAGGGCCTCGGGGCCGGCCAACGCCCTTTGTCAAATTGTGGGAATGTGAGTGCTTCGCGTGAATGGCATTCGTGCAAAAATGCTTCACTCGACGAACAGCCTAGGGACTAGGAGCAGCAGAGTAGCAGGGACATCACATAAGTACAACACCATGGCTGGGCAACCTGACATGACAATACCATGATCAAAGCAGACGCATACATGAGTGTAATCGCGCCCTGGGACTAAGGTTCTAACGGCTTTGCCTTCCAGAGGCTTCAGTCTCCGAGGCTAGCGGCATCGAGCGGCTAGTAAAGTTCAGCATCCAAGCCAAGCCCTGCAACTAGCTAGCATAAACTGCCATGCAAATCCGAGAAGAGATGGCCCAGAAGCAACCTCGAAACTCTACCTCAACAAAGCAGCCAGTTCATGCGAGCGTCAGTATGAATGCGCATAAACCGCAAAGTGTCTGCAGCCGTGTAAAGCGCGACATGCGGTCTTCGTCCGGAGGACGTCGGATGGCGCCTGTACAAGCCTGAATCCCTACAGCCCTTGACGGCCTGAGCAGTTGCAATGCGCCTCAAGCTTGACACCGGCATGCAACTGCCAAAACAAGAGTTACTGTCTTTGCATGGGTACGGAAGCATCAGTGCTCATCATGCTGGGGTCCAAGGCTTACTGTAAAGACCCCGAGAGACAAACAGAGTACGCACATTTTAGCACTCGCCCTCTACGCCCTACGCTGCACACTTAGTATAACCGACACATGTCGGGGAGGCATTGCCGCACGGCATACTCTTGCTGGCAATGATGATGCTAGTAGCTGGGGGAACGAGGCTACGGGACTGGAACTTGAGCCAAATCCGTGCAGCGATGAAGTCGCGGCTTCGTCTGTCTTTGGACTTCGAAGAAAATCCGATCCGACGGTGTCCACGGACGTAACGCCTTGTCGAATTCTGTTCTTGGGAGCCGTTCGGTGGAGGCTTCGTCCTCTGTTTCTTTCGCCCTCTCTGCCCTCTTGCTTGCTTGCT